AGAAAGGTCTTCTCGCGGCCCAAGTGGCCGCTGGAGGGCGCGTCATGCGCCTCCGCGAGGATATCGAACTTCAGATCCTCGTCGTTGGGTACGACCACCCGTGGAGGATCAGTGGGCTCCACCCGGTAATAGAGAATACCCTCTTTAAACTCATATCGGTGAAGCCGTGAGCGCTGTCGCGACGAGAGCCAGTCGGACTTCGCGCTCGTTCCGGTCATAAGGAACTTGACGATAGGCGCGACAGCCTCATCGTCCCGATACGCCATGCGTATCCGATCATATAGATCCGTTGTCACCCGCGTGATGTGGGCCAACTCATAGTCAGGAAGCCGAGAGAGGGCGTCCGCAAGCACGTTGAGCTTGCCCGGCTTGTATTCGACGCAGAAGTTGTACTCCGCGAAGAAGGACAGCCACCTCGCCATCCTTTTGGAGAGGTTAGGCGAGTTAGTCGCCGTCCTCAAGGACGCGTGGTCTGTGTAGATCACAAAGGGCTTAGAGCCCAGAAGGTAAGCACAAAACTTCACAAGGGCATATTTCATTGCCAGGAGCTCCTTGTCGTGGACAGGGTAGTTCCGCTCGGCGGCTTTGAGCTGCCTGGGCTGGAACGAGATGACTCGCTCGTGTCCAGCCGTGTTGGCCTGCAGCAATGCACATCCGATGGCGCAATCAGAAGCATCGCAGACGACGCTAAACGGCTTCGTCTTGTCCGGCAGGGCCAGGACAGGGGCCTCTTGGAGACTGGCCTTGACGCTGTCAAAAGCATCCTGGTGCTCCTGCTCCCAGCGCCAGTCGACGTCCTTCTGAAGGAGGCTCGACAAGGGCTTAGCGAAGCCCGCGTACCCTGCGCTGTCCTTGTGAAGGTAGTTGGCCAAGCTCAACCACTTTCGAAGTTCCTTCTGGGATCGGGGCGTCGGCCATGCTGCTATGGCCCTAACCTTGTCTGGGTCAGCCCGAGCGCCCACGTTGCTTACGAAGCAACCGAGAACTTTAATCTCTGGTGACACTTGTCGATATTGGTGTAGAGCTTGTTCGCTCGCATTACGTCCAACACTCGACGGAGGTGTCCTAGGTGCACCTCCATGGCCGTCTTGCCTCCTTCGGCACGGCTATGGACGAATATGTCGTCGAAGGACGTCTGTACGAAGGTACGCAAAGGGCGGAACAATTGCGTCACCAGGCGATTGAACGTCGCCGGGGCGTTAGACAAGCCCTGTGGCATGACGAGCCACTCTTAAAGCATGCCGCTTGGAGTGAGCAGGATGTCGCTCTCTCGCATCAGGATTTGGTAGTATCCGTCTACCAAATCCAGCGCACTGTACAGTACGCACCCGGCCATGTTGTTCAACAACACATCCTTTCGTGGGAGTGGTGTTTGGGCCGGCACCGTTGCGTTGTTCAGCTTGTTATAAGCGTGAACCAGACGCCACTTTCCGTTCGGCTTATGAACGCAGAAAGTCGGCGTCGAGTGCGGGGATTTCGACTCCCGCACCATGCCTGCCTTCGCTTTCGCGGCGAAGAAGGCATCAATGACCTCGCACTGTTCGCGCGGGAGAGGCCATTGCCTCGTGACACAATACTTTGTGCCGTACGCCTCGATTCGGTGGGAGTTGGGTCGGTGGGTGTTTGCTCAACACGTCCGCATACTCTTCACCAAAGGATACACCGGATCCTTGGGGTTCTTAAGGATTTTAGAACCCAAGCGCGCCTGACGCTGCTTGTTCAGGTCTTCCAGGACGTTCTCGTCCAAAACAGAGGAGGAGTTCAGCTCCTCCCGAGTGGTCTAAGGTCTCATGAGTACCATCTCAGCAATCTCTCCAGCCTTGAGGTTGGTCAGGAAAGACTCAGCCGTCATTTCCTCGAGGTGCAGTATCTCTGCAACCTCTGGCAACGGTTCCAAGTGGACACCAGATGCCTTGACGGGTAAACCGGTCTCGCCATCGAAGATGTGATACCACTCTTCCACCGGCCTTGTCGGAGGAGCCCGGGCCCTGGACTCCGAGGCGCTTGAAGCGACGTCGATCGGAACGAAGTTCGGATCCGACTTGAGGCAGCGGCGGCGTCGTTGACGACGGCGACCGTGACGTCGGGCTTTGCTGCCCACGTTTAGGGATGTCGGCGCTACGACATCCGAGGCACTCGTGGCCTCGTGTGGTACTGTAATACCCACACAGGAAGCGTGTTCGACGCCTTCCTCTTCAGTTAAGGTCTGGGCGACCGCGTGTGGTACTGTGGTACCCACACAGGAAGCGTGTTCGACGCCTTCCTCTTCAGTTAAGGTCCGAACGACTGCGTGTGGCACTGTGTTACCCACACAGGAAGCGTATCCGACGTCTCCGTCTTCAGTTAAGGTCTGGGCGACCGTGAGTGGAGCTCTGTTATCCACTCTGAACACGCTGTTCTCAGTGTTCGTGACAGCTGCAGCTGCCTGCGGAACTAAGTTACCCGCCTGTGGACCTAAGTTACCCACTTGGCCAGCGCCTCTTCTGGGCGCTGCCACCATCAAAACATTCTCGGAGTCGTCATATACGTCGACGACTCCCAAGCATCTGCCGAATGCTTGGGTACCCTGGCAGCCCTTGCGGGCGCCCCGGGTCCTGACAGAGGTGGGAACATGACTCACCAATGCTCTGTCGGACTGCGCAGGGCGGCTGGCACCGATTGCCTTGCCTCGCCAGTCGATCCAGGGCTCGTGCTTCTCAAGCCAGGGCATGCCCAGGATCATATCAAATGGATCCATATCGAGAACAGTGAACTGTTTGAGGCTGTCAAAGTCTTCAAACTTGACGGCCAGATCCACTTGGACGTTGGGGACAGTGACGACCTTCCCGTCGGCCAGTCGCACTGACACCGTCCCGTTGCCCTTGCGTTCTCTCAAAGCATCGGACAACTTGTTGCTGCTGCGAGCAACCGTCTGGCGGCGTGCGAAATTCTTCGACGCCCCAGAATCGATCAAGATTCTAAAGGAATGATCGTATCCCCGTACACATCCGTGTACTACGAGCAACCCGCCGCTGCTCGCCGATTCGAGAGTGCGAAGACTCTCAGGGGCTAGGTCCCCGTGGTACGCGCCACCCGCGCACCCATCACGAAGACTTAGTTCTTCCCCAGTAGGGCGCCCCGCCCCTACTGGTTCCCAGCGTTCCCCTGTCCCCGGGATCCTGGCTTCTGCCAGCGACCCTTGAGGACGGGCTCGGGGAAGGACCGTCTGCGGAGTCTTTCCGCAGGACAGTCGCGCTTGAAGCGGCCCATGTTCCCGCAGCCGAAGCAGTGGATGTCACGCTGTTCGGCGGACCCGAGTTCCATGGGAACTGGTCCGTTGGGGCTTGATCGGCCGGGAGCCGACAAAGAACTTCCAGGCCATGCTGAGGCCGGCGTACGCGCCTGGCGATGGCTGTACTCTTCTTGAAGAGCCACTTGAATCGCCTCTTCAAGAGTGCTTGACTGCACCCGGAACAGCTGAGTGCGTGCGGGGCCCACTCGAAGGCCGTCCATGAACACAGTTATCTTGATGTGTTCGCTGAGTGGGTGTCCCACTAGGGACGCCGTGTGCTCCCGTATCCCTTGCACATACTCGTGCAGTTCGCGCCTTCCTTGTTTACACAAGAGGAAGCGCGAACGCTGGCGGTACTCGTAGTTCGCCGGGAGGAAAGCGGCTCGGAGCTGTTCGCACAGCTGAGCCCAGGATGTGAAACATCCAGGGGATGTTGCTTCCCGTGTGTACACCCAACTCTTAGCACGGCCGCTAAGGTTGGAGAGTGCAAAAGCAACACGCAGTTGCTCGGTCGAGATCAGAGCCGCGTCCATCGCGAGCTCTACTTCTCGGACCCAGAAGCGAAGGTTCTCGCCTTCCTTCCCTTCATACGGCTTAACCTTCAGCCGTATTGGCTTCGGGTGAGGCGGATTTGCTTCCGCCGCTGGAGCCTGCAGGTTCTCCCGCACATGCGCGATGAGGCCCTGCTCGTACGCGTCGAATGCATTGACGCGCTCGAGCTGCTCAGCCGGTGTTGACACCACCAGGCCTTGCAGGGCCTCCATCCCGAAGATCTTCCGAACCGACTCGAACTGAGAGTCGTTCATATGGGAGAAGTCGTTCCTATCCGTGGCAACGAACTTCGGAGGGGTTCAGGTAGTCTACCCGCGGTGGCGTGGATTGACTACGAGTGCTACCAAGTGTGACGGGGTCACACAGCACCTTGCGCTAGAGGAAGTTATCTTCCGAGAGTATACAAACTCTCAATGAACGGCAGCTCACAGGTCCCCTCTTTAGTTAAAGAGAGCGAAGTGACCTAAATAAGGTAGATTGTAAACTGAGTATATTTATGGGTAGGTTAAGTTTGGGTTTAATACAAACTATAAGTTACCTATAGAAATGCAATGTCGTTTGACCAATGCTTGGCTTTGAGCGACCTTGGTACTGTAACCAGGGTACACTTAGGGCTACGTACCCCGTTACAGATACGGTGAAGGCGCTGACGTGCAATCTACAGGAAGAAAAGCCGGTATGCAGGAGTTCGTGAGTCGTGTGCAGCCAATTCCAATCAAGTACGAGCGGGCGGTCAACAAAAAGCCCAAATACGTTCGCCTCAGCGTACCGATACTCTCTTGATCTCAATATGAATTTTTAATCGATAATTTATGGACAATACTTGGTTGAATACTTGGATTATTTCGATACCTAATACTGGGACTGTAGCACGACTGTAGTCAAATCTCATATGTCATATTTTTAATAGTAATATTACTATTTTCGCTTTTAAATATTAATAGTAGCTCAGTTTTTAAAAGGTAGCATACTATTTTAATATTAGCTCAGAGATTTGAAATATTAGATACTTGATGACAGATAAGTGATTACTGTGCTTCGCTTTTGACCGTAATATCACTTCATGTGCTACATATTCATCACTGGCATGTAACGCTACACATCAAGAGGTACTTTTAATAACAGTGTTGCTTGCGATTGTCAGTTGTGAATTTGCGCAGACACTCGAAAACTCGCCATGCGCCGATTCAACGTCTTGCTAATAATTGCTGCGACCGCCCTCGTTGTAGGAAGCCATGGCCTCTCAGCTGCCGACCAAGCCAAGTCTCCAAGCGTGACGACACCGGACGCGCGTTCCTCTGTCCGCTCACTTTTAAGCGAGAGTGTTCGCGACAATACAAGCAAGCTCCGGGGTGCTGGAGAAACGTCGGAGCTAGACGAGGAGCGAGGGTTATTCTCCAGTCTGAAGCTTCGTCTCTACCTTCAACGAGGTGTTACTCCTGCTCAGGCGTTGAAGAAGCTTCCCAAAACCCAAATGGAAAAGTACTACTACAGTACATGTGGCTCAAGAAAATGGCAGCCAAGAAGCCTCCAACCAAGGCCTGATTGCTGGAGCGCATCATTGCACTATAACCTTTGTCACCTAATACAATATTCTTCCTGTGTTCGAAGGAAAACCTGGAAAAAAAGTGTTGACTGTACGCTACTTCAATCAACTACATAACGCATACTTTATGTAGCCGTCGCCGTCAGCGAGCGTGCAATGTCCGGGTATTGCTGCTCGATCTGCTCGGCGCACTGGTTGACATTGAAGCACAGCGAGCTGATGCGCGTGTCAAAGGCCGCCAGCACCTCGTCCTCCATGTTCTCGAACTCGAGGAAGCCCAAGTGCTGGTCGATACTTCCCTTCATACGGTCCTCCCCGATCATCGTCGCAGCCACTCGCTCGGCATTGGCCGGTTCGATCTCCAGTAGCTTGCCCAGTTCTACCAGCGCAATACTACTGTACACACGACTAGCAGCCAGTAGATTGTGCTCTAAGAAGGCGTTCTCCAGCACCGTAAACCCGTTGGACAGCACCGCCCTCTGATGCGGCAGCAGACTCTTCTCGAACTGAACCAGCTCCGGTCGACGGATCAGCTGCTCCGTGTACATTTTCTCCAGAATCGCCACGTGCTCGCTGTTCTTCACACGCTCGTCCTTGTACAGAGTTCCCAAGAGCCGCGAGCGCTGCGGCCCGGCCGAGGCCAAGATGGCGCACGTCACAGCCTTACTCAGCAGCTCCAGCAGGTCGTCGGGGTCCACTTCGTCCGGTTTCGACTGCGAGAACTCGTAGTAACGCAGCGCCGCGTCCAGGAACTTGCGCTTCGCGTCCAGAATGCGCGCGTAGGACACCTGGAAGCGCAACTTGAGCGCCCAGTCCTCCACGTTGTGGATGAACCGAGAGGCGCGGTTGATAAAGTTCTCAGCGTCGACAGTCTCGTCCTCTTGGAGATACAACTCGGCGATTTTGACGTATTTCTCGGCCTTCTCCACGTCAGTGTATTGCCGTGTCGAGCTCTCGAGGTTGATGGCCGCTAGAGCCTTGGCGGCTTCAATGTACTCTTCCTCGTCCATGTACATGGCTGCCAGAGACTCGCGGAACAGCACGTCGGGCTCCTCGAACGACAAGATGCGGGGCTTGATCTTGGCCAGGCAGAAGCAGATGAACTCGAGCTTCCACGGATGCGCGTCCACGTCGATACCGGAGACGACGGAGGCCAAGTGCGTGATCACCTGTAATGAGGGAGATGTGGTGTGTTAATTGAGGCTTAAAAGGGGATATTTGAGGCGGTGGGAGACGTACAGCACGCGAAATGACGAGGAGAACATCCTCTCCTAGCACTACATGCACAAGGGTCAGTTATAGTCGGGGGAATTGCGGGGGTTACGATGCCGTACAATGGGTCACGATGGTCTTTAGGCTGTGTTGGTCTTGTAGATGATCCTCTAGCAGCGTCTATGGGGTAGTCGGAGTGCAAAAGTCATTATACGTCACGTTACGAGGTGTTGTATTCATGAGTTTACCTTGTACGCTGCTGTCTTCTCCTTCTGGTCCGCGATGCGCGAGATCTACGCGGTGTGCGGGAGTAAAAATGGTATACACAGATAGAGAGAAACGTTATCTTGTTATTAATATCGATTTCGAGGCCAGACACGCCCTCAAAGAGCTGCACGCACGCGCTGAAGCTCAGCATCTACAGTTGCCATGACTTTCCGACCGCTTTTTCGTTTTGTGTCAAAATGGATCGGACAGCAAATTTCACCCAATCATGATACGACTCTCACTCCACACAAGTTTCACACAAATAAAGAGTGAACAGCTCACTTCAACTTACTGTCTCATTTAACTGAACTGGTTGTTATGTAGCGGTGGCAGTGCTGCAGGTGTAGTAGCAGCGAGGCCACTACGCTCGCTGCGTCTACGCTGTAGATCTGGTGGCTGGTCGAAGGCTTTCGATTTTCCCCGAGACTTCGGTGGTGGTGCAGCTTGCATCGGATTTAGCGACTGCTGCATCTGTACGTGAGGTTTGAGCACTTGCAGCACCCCCACATTGGGCGTTCTTGCGAAGGTTTTGTTGTACATTTCCTCTCGATTAAGCAGTTCCCGCTTGAAGTAGGCCATCTCGTCCAGAGTCTGTCGTACGAGTGCGTCTCTCTCCACTACCAGACGCTCCAGCTCCACGATCCGAGCCACGTCTTCCGGGCGACTCTCACGTCTGCCGTATTTGTCCTGCCACTCAGCGACCGCAGCCTTGAGATAATCCGCTTTTTCGTCCATAGCACGGCGAGTTTCCTCGAATTGGTCGCTCAGTTGCTTCGTTTCGGCCAGATTTTCCTCCAGTAATCGGTCCATTTCGCGTTTCGCAGCGAGTTTTAGCGTCTCCACTTGCTCCCGCGAGCTCTTCTCTAACTCTGCGACTTTGACTGCCATCTCTTCGGTCTTGGCAGCCAAGGCAGCACTTAATGTCTGGCCTTCACGCATCGCGCTCGCCCAGTCCAGAGTCTTTCGCGTTAGGGATTCCTCGGTGGACTCTAGCCGAGTCCGTAAGTCGCCGTATTGCTGGTCATGTAGATTTTGAGCTTCTCGCAGCGCTTCCGACCGCTCTCGGTCTTTCTTCGAGCTCAGCTCAGCCAGCTGTTTAACTGCGTCGCTTCTTTCGGCCAGGATCGCTCGTTCTTGCGCGGAGTTTAAGGTGTTTTGTATGCGTTTGATTGCCTCAGCGTGCTGGTGAGCTGACCGTTGAAGTTCTTGGCGATGGTCCGCTACAAGACGTGCGAAATCCGAGTCAGCCTTGGCCTGTAGAGTCGCGAGTTGGGCCTTCATCTCGTCCGTAAACCGGATTTCCAGCTCTAATTCGTGGTTAGAGTGCCTCAGTTGGAGCGTCTCTAGTTCCTGTCGAGCTGCCGATTCTGCGATAGAGCGTTCAGTTGCTGTACGGTCAGCAACTTGAACGATAGCGCTTCGAAGCTGCTCTTGTTCAAAGAGTCTGGTCTCGTCCATGGACCTTTTCGTTTCCGTCGCTTCCTCTGATGCATCTCCAAGAGCACGCTGTAAGCTGTCAATGTCTTCACGAAGCTTTAAAAGCTGTGGCTCGTACACCTCACGCAGTGTTTGTTCTTGTGTCGCAAGCTCTTTCAATCGCTGCGCTTCAAGTTGTTCCGTGGCAGATTGCAGCGCCGTAGCGTGCTCCTGAGCCAATTGCAGAAGAGCTTTAGAGTGCTGGAGCTCTAGTTGGTCCCTATCTGCAATTAGGGAGTTAACAGAGTTTTCTCGTTGCGCTTCAAGCTCTCGGATCTGCTTCCGGTGCGCTTCGTCTCGTTCTTTTTGGGACTTTAAAGTGGATAATTGGAGCGTTTCGTTAGTCGATTGCAGTGATAAAACTTGCTGTTGCGAGCTCTCAAGCTGTCGCGTCAAATCTTCGTGTTTCTTCTGCAATTCTGTAAGCTGACACGTCTGTGCTGTAAGTTGGTCCTGTAACGACTTGGTCTGTAACTCTAGCTGGACGATTTCGTCACGAAACTTATTCTGCGCAGTTTTCGACGCAGCTTCGAGGTCATCTACAACTCGCTGGTGTTCTCGTTTAAACTCCGTAATCTTCTCGTCCGAAGACTTCTCTGAGGCCTCTCGTAGGCTCTTTTCTAGTTGTTCCAGCTGCGTCGCCGCTGCGGAGCGTTGCGTCTCCATTTCGTGAGTATGAGAGCTCATTAACTGCTGGATTTTACTGTCGTGGGTCTGTTTTAACGCCTCTATCACGTGTTCATGGTTAGTTGTGGCTTGTTTCGCATCGTTCAGTGCACGCTCCAGCTCTTGCGCTAATTTCGATCTCGTTAGAGCATCGTTAGCGCCGTCTGTCTGCAACTCAGCGATCGACTTTAACGCCGCTGTAAGCTCAGTTTCCAGCTTTAGAATCCGGTTTTTACCGGTTTCAACCTGCTGAAACGCGAGTTGAATCTCGCTTTTACTGTTTGCGAGCTGCAGTTCGTGCTCTTGGAGCTGCAGCTTCAACTGAGCGTGAAGCTCGGATGCATTGGCGTTCTGCTGTTTCGTCTCTAGCTGCGCCGTCTCCAGGTCTTTCTGAGCCTGCGTTAGCGCTCGATCCCGAGTCTGTAAAGTATGTTTAAGCGTCGAGAGCTCCTGCGCTAGCTCGTCGATTTTATCCGTACTGACCGCAAGCATGCGCTGCAACTCCTCCGAGTGAGCCGAAGCATCTCTCCGCACACTTTGCGCGTCTTGCTGAGCTTTCGAAAGCTCCAGTTCTAGCTCTTTTATCGTCCGTGCAGCTTCTTGTTGAGTTCTCACTAACTTTTCCTTTTCGTCTCGAAGTTTCGTCTCACTACCACGTAAAGTTTCAGCGTCGACCAATAACACCTCGATTTTAGTCACTAACTCGTGTTTCATCGTGTCGAAACTGGTTTTAGCACTCATTTCTTGTTTCAATCGTTGCTGTTCAAGCTCCGCTATAACCTCCTGTTTCTGCTTGTCAAAGTCGAGTTTAGCGCTAACCAGATCGGCCTTGAGAGCGTCTTGAGCCCGTAATTGCTCGGCCAGCATCTTGTTGTGCTTGGCGTTAGAGGTCGTCACGAGTCGCTCGACTTCGTCCGCGTGTTTCAGCCTCATCTCCTCCAATCGCGCCTCTAGCGCGACGCTCTCTTCCTGGGAGCTCAATACTCGCTGTGCCTCCTTCTCTAAGGCTAATTGAGTGAGTTGCTCTATTCGTTCATCGAACGCCCGTTGAGCTTCGAGCACTTGCGTCTCGAACTCCGTCACTTTGGCTCGGAATGCCTCCTCTGCGGCCGCGCGACCGGCTTGAGACCGTCGCTGCTGCTGCTGCGCTTCGTTCATGTATTTCTGCCTCTCCGACACATATTGACGCTCTCGTTGGGCTGCAGTGGCCGCTTGGGTCTGCAATTTGCCCTGCAACGTCCTCATAGTGTCGGCGGCATCCTGTGTGAGTCTCTGTAGCTCAGCGGTATGCGCTGTTCGAGTATATTCCGCTTCTGCCTGATAGTCCTCGTTGCGAGTGTTGAGCTGGAAGATAACCTTCGTGAGCTGCGCCACCTTCTTGCACATTTTCAAGTGCAACTCGGCGGACGCCGCGGCCGACACCGACGCCGGCACGTTCATGGTGTCGGGGGTGTTAAATTCCGATACTTCCGAAACGACACTTATGACTGTCCAACTCAAAATTAGACCGCGGACGAGAAGCTTCATGTTATTCTATATCCTTCGTCGTGTAGTGCTCGTTGTGCTGCTATCGGTAGCTACTGTTCATGGCGAAGTGAGTTTTCCGGGCGTGGAATTCAACGCCGCGATCGGAGAACCGGCACATGCCAGTAGCTACTACAACTACGCGCCTAACGCTCTCCACGACACGGAGTTCGTGCCGGGCAATGCAAACGACGGCTTCGCCGACGAAACGAGCTGGTGGTCGGCCGGTGACAACGCAACGGAGCAGGTTTTCTGGCAGGTGAATATGAGTGCACTGGCTCCGACCCTCTCACGGATCGTGGTGCGTTGGCACGGCTACCTGTCGCCTAGGAGCTACCGCATCCGCGTATCTTACGACGGCATCGAGTTCACGAGTATCATCGCCGTGTTTAACCTCAGCAACGCCTACGACCGCGTGGATAACCACACGGAAGGCCTCAAAACACTCGCGGCCAAGTTCAAATACGTCCGACTCGTCATGGGCGATCCAAACGTCTGCAGCGACCAATTCTCATGCGTGGATGACGGCGTGAGCGACACGACGAGCAACACGAACGAACGCGTGCTCTACGGTATCCGGGAGGTCGAAGTCTGGGCCAAAGGCACCAGGAACGGTGCGTATTAATACCCTCTGAGGATAGACGATAGTTACCGGTATGAGAAAACTTTGCAATGCTGATGCGAGATCGGATGTGCGATGTGAATTTTTTCTGTGTAGAGGCGTCCCGAGTGTCAGGAGTCGACAGCTCAGCGATGATTCTCGGCCTTGTCATGTCGATTTTAGTCACAACATGAAGGAGAAGACGAAAACTCAAGAAGAAGAAAGTATAAGAAGAAGAAGAAGAAGAAGAAGAAGAAGAAGAGGCTATAATGGATGGCACTTTCTATTAGAAACAAACTGGGGAACTCACTCATTACTCACTCAAAAAACACAGGCACCAGACCAAGGACGCTAGTGCGCGCAAAATGGGAGACAGCGACCTACACACAATACACGACCGCGTTCGGTGAGCGAGCGGGGGGTAGAGCAGAGCAGAGACTGGAGACGTCCCAGTCAGTTCGTAAGATCCACCACCACCACCCTCTTCTTCTTCTGCAATAATACACGCACTCACACTCACTTCCTCTCGGTTCGTTCTCGATGGAGGGGGCTCTTTTATCCAACGTATCTCTCTCATTTTGATTCATTGCAACCAACGACTGTAGAGATGGCGCTTTCCGGCACGACACGGACATGACTCGGGCTACCGGCACTTTACAGTGCCGAGTTCTGGTCGACGGTGAAGATGTCGCCCGCCGCCTTCTTGGACTTGGTGCTCCGTCGCTTCATGTAAACCGTGCCGGCAACAGCCAGAGCGGCACACACGGCAGCAGCGGCAGCGATCGGAATGGTAAAGCTGGAAGATGGGTCCTCCTCGTCGTTGCCTGCCTTGAACTTGACGGCCTCCACGCTGAATGCCGTCTGTTGCTGCACCGGGCTCTGGTCGGCAGTGGTGCTGCCGCTGAACGAGCCGCCGGCAGCGGATGGGGAAAAGGTCAGCGGCGACTCAGAGCCCGAAGACTCGGCCGGAGAGGACGAGTCCGTTGAGGTTCCAGTGTAGGTAGCCTCCGAGCCACCAGCGGCTGAAGTCTCGGTAGAGGTGCCGGCCGAAGCTTCCGTGGACGGTTCGGTAGGTGTGGCACCAGACGCCTCCGTAGACGTAGCGGCAGAAGCTTCTGTGGATGGTTCAGTAGGGGTAGCACCGGAAGCCTCCGTAGACGTAGCGGCCGAGGTGTCGACGTCCTCACTTCCAGCGGTAGAGAACTCCTGGCTGCACGAGGTAGACTCAGCCGTGTCGCTGCTGCCAGCAATTGAGAACTCCTGGCTGCAGGAGTCGTCGGCAGTGTCGGAGCTGCCGGCCACAGAGAACTCCTGGCTGCATGACTCAGAGCCGGCAACGTCAAGCTCCTGAGAGCAGTCCGAACCAGCAATGTCATATTCCTGGCTGCAGTCTTCGCTGCCGGCGATGTCGTAGCCCTCAGAGCAGTCAGAGCCAGCCGACGTGTCGGTACCCGTTCCAGTCTCCGTTGATGTGTCAGTACCGGTACCAGTCTCCGTGGACGTGTCAGTTCCAGTTCCAGTCTCCGTGGACGTGTCAGTTCCAGTACCAGTCTCCGTGGAGGTGTCAGTACCGGTGCCGGTCTCCGTGGATGTGTCAGTACCAGTCTTTGTGGAGGTGTCAGTTCCGGTACCAGTCTCCGTGGAGGTGTCAGTACCCGTGCCGGTCTCCGTGGACGTGTCAGTTCCGGTACCAGTCTCCGTGGAGGTGTCAGTACCCGTGCCGGTCTCCGTGGACGTGTCAGTTCCCGTGCCGGTCTCCGTGGATGTGTCAGTACCAGTATTTGTGGAGGTGTCAGTACCGGTGTCGGTCTCCGTGGACGTGTCAGTACCGGTGCCGGTCTCTGTGGACGTGTCAGTCCCGGTCTCCGTGGACGTGTCAGTACCGGTTCCAGAGGTGTCAGTACCTGTACGAGTCTCAGTCGACGTATCGGTACCTGCGCCAGTCTCTGTCGTGTCGGTCTGCGTTGGAGTATCTGTACCCGTACCAGTTTTCGTCGTAGTGTCTGTGCCAGTGTCACCACCCGTGGTTTCAGTACCCGTGCCGGTCTCAGTGTCACCACCAGAAGTTTCAGTTCCCGTGCCAGTCTCAGTCGAGGTTTCTGTGCCAGTTCCGGTCTCAGTTGATGTGTCAGTGCCTGTGCCAGTCTCGGTGGACGTGTCCGTTCCTGTGCCAGTCTCGGTAGACGTGTCCGTTCCTGTGCCCGTATCAGTAGATGCGTCCGTGCCAGTTCCTGTCTCAGTCGAAGTGTCGGTACCAGTGCCGGTACTGCTACCCTCAGTTGTCTCCTCGGACCCGGCGATGTCGTAACCCTCGCTGCAGTCATCCGAGCCAGCAATATCGTATCCTTCGGAGCAGTCTTCGCTGCCAGCAACAGAGAACTCCTGGCTGCACGAGTCGTCGGCGGTATCGGAACTTCCCGCGACAGAGAATTCTTGGCTGCACGAGTCGTCAGCTGTGTCAGAACTGCCGGCCACAGAGAACTCTTGGCTACACGAAGCCGTGTCAGTGGCGCCACCGACGTCGCTGCTTTCAGTGGTAGGAGTGTCGGCGTCTTCGCTGCCGGCAGTGGAGAACTCCTGACTGCACGAGGCCGAGTCCGTACCGGCAGCACTACCCTCGCCCGTGGACGTCGCAGCCGACGACTCGGTCGTGGGAGCCGAACCGGCAGAAGCCTCAGTCGAAGAAGCAGCCGAGAACGTAGGGGCCGAACCAGCCGAGGCCTCCATAGAGCTGCCCGAGGTTACCGTAGCGGGCGAACCACCGCCCAACGATTCAGGCAATGACTGTTGTTGCGTCTGATCGGCGCCCGAGACGGTGCCGGTGCTGCCGCTGGTGAGACTTGTCTCGGAGAAGTCGATGGCATTGACCTGCGCAGCACAGAGTACTGCGGCGAGGACCAAACTCTTGGCGACCTTCATATTCTTCTGCTGTGAGATGGCCTGAACTGTTAGCCGGACCTTATCGCTTCGGTTCTCACGAGCAGGAGTCTAATCGGAAAATGAAGAGGAGAGCCCGGCACGCGAGATAGGCCTGGAGTGTCGGCATCTTGGGCTGGGACTTGACCGAACAAAGAGTCAGCTTTTGTCTGGGCGCCCAGCTGGTTGGAGGAGAGTATCGACAGCTGCTGTAGGCGAACACACGACTCGTCGTTTGTATGGGGAGTTCAGTTTGCTGAAAATGTAGAATCTGGCCACCCCATCTGGGCCCAAACCTCCTTGCCGTGCCGGCAAGTGGCAAGGAGAACAATCAGCACCTAGCGCTTGCGGCTGGCAAGCGCGAACACGTCGATCAGATTGAAGGCTTTATTGTGCTGATCTTGGTGAAGATACATCGTCTACAGCCTATTTATTATCTACAGTACCTACCTACATGCACGTGCCCGTGCTGCCTTTGAATTTCAAATAGCAAACATGTCATGGTCCAGACTACCGGTAGAAGTATAGCAAAGATTGGTTGTCGGAGAAGGCGAGTAGCTCGCAACCGTCACGCCACGAAAGATACCGCAATCCCGAAATGAATGCGAAGGTACAGAATAATGGTGTGTGCACGTGGCGCACTGGTATCATGTCACGCACTCTTAATACAGTACCTAGGCGCTGCCAAATAGATGGCTGCTCGTCGCCAGCGTTTCGTAGTGCTGGCTCACATCAAGTTTCTCATGCTAGCGAGGTTGACTTTAATGCGCCATCTGGGTTCCTGTATCGACGCAAAGTTTGACTCGGGGCTCGCTGGATGGCACTACCGAGAGAACACCGGCATCCAGCCGTTGTGGCAGCACCTATCGGCGTCTTGATGGCCGCAATAATGCGCTGACGCATGCGGACGCTGCGATCTACTTTAGTACCAGCCAGTTTGCAGCCATAAGGGCTGCTGTCCTTTGAAGGTTTAACGTCATACCGTATTTGCCGTGTGCTGCGTTGTGGGCCACAGAGATTTCACTGCACGAGCACCTTGATGTCGAGTCATTGTCGCACGAGCCTCACTTACTCTATTAATACCTGCAGAGCGCCATTATTTAATAGTCACTATTTTATTAATAGTGCGCTGTGCGCAAAGCATACCATCTTCTTGTTATCTCTTCAAGCGTGGACAACATCTTTGGGTCGCCGTGTTGAATCAACAGTTGATGCTTGTGTCTGCACGATACCGGTACACCAAAAGGATGGACAGCCTAACGCGGTCAGACCACCGGAGCGGCCCTGCCTCACTCACTCGAGTCGAAGGCACAAGCCATTTTTATTATCGAGCTCCGATCTTGCCCAGCAAGTTTCTTAGATCAACGATCTCGATGCTGGGCAAGGTTCACCTTACGAATTCTTACAGTATAATACCAGCAAAAAATAAAACAAGCCTTGTCGCCTTTACATAAACATTTAATGTTTTGGTCACCGTGCACGTATTGCCAAGTCCTCTTTTGATCAAACGACGCTACGACCTCCAGCAACAAAGATGGGGGGAGGACTCGACTAGTTTCTGGAAAACAGCGGATTTACTCGACCAACGTCGGACCTCTACGAGCGCAGCGTGTTGAGCCCGGCCGCAAAGTGCACCTCGCAATATCAAGCGAGCTCAAGTCGGCTGGCGAAATGGTTTGCTAGAACGATCCGTGCAGCATCCAGCGTTCATGACGACGGTGTAGGCTCTGCAGTGCACTACTGGCAGTATGGCTGGGTCCCCACGGGCAGTGCATCGAATGCAATGGCGCCAGAGTCTCCGTTAACGCACGTCCCTCGTGAAGAGGAGCTACAACGACCCAGATGATTTCCTCGCAGTCATGGAGTCCATCAGCAGGGTGGGCGCTTATGTGATTGCTGGCTGTGAACGAGCATCAGACTGGACTCGAGGTTTTTAAGGCCGTGTTCGGTTTGCAGGGGCAAATCCAGCTTGTTCGAAAATAAGCTAGAGCTGTAGAACAGTCGTTTTGTTAAGTAAAATAAAGATAAAATAAGTGATCGTGTTCCATCAGAAAAAGGCTGGATTTGAAGGCGCAAAGCAGGACGATTCAAAATTCAACCCAGAGCTAAATTTTGAAACCAGTCGTCCTGCTGGATGTCATTTTTTGTGTTTCTTAGCGGAATAAAGCTGGTTGAGACATTCCAGCTCTTTAATACCAATTACAGCTGGTTTTAGCTTAAATCGAACACGGCCTAGTGTTTGTAAGGAGTGATCGAGTTAGGTGTGAACGCGGCACTGCATTTTGAATGCTGTTAAGTGTTTGTAAGGAGTGATCGAGTTAGGTGTGAACGCGGCACTGCATTTTGAATGCTGCGGTGCTGGGATCTCAAACTCTCGGAGCTTGCCCTGTGCCATCTTTTACAAGGGCCCACTATCGGTATACTCACTGTTGGACCATCATACAACTCGCTCACTGGAAGCAGACAGATAATGCGATAGCAAAAAGAAATATCCTCATTGATGGCTCGACATCCAAGCAAGTATTAATACTATTTAGAAATTCTGGGTTTCTGAGAGGCCAGAGGTTTGTAGTACCGAAAAAAAGGTGATACCGTACTGTAGCACAATTGCCGGTAATCTGGACCACATTTTTCAGTAGTACTAATAGCAGTACCGAAAAAACAACAGGGTATTAATAGATTTACTATTAGTAGTAATAGTCAAAGTACAAGTCTGCCACCCTTGTAGCGTCACGCGACGTCTTTCTTCATCTTTACAATCTCGTCCCGGTTGTGCCGGCGCAGTAGCATCTTCTCCGATCACCTCTATCTGTTCTGGTACGAAGCGGCCCCAAGCTTATCCCCCTGTAAAAAACATTGGCTCTTGAAACGCCGAAGATGATATCTTGCCGAGATGAATACGCGCTAGCAGCGCCATTGAAGGATAGTGGCTCTCGCCTTCATCGCGAAACCACTGTAACACATATACGTGTCGGTACAACCCCAGCAGCGACCAGCACATACCGTTCCGACTGTCCGTAGTCATTGCCAAGGAGGGATCCTCCTTCTTCGTCTCTAGATTTTGACGCTGAGCGGTCTCGAGCCACTCGGGCTTCATATCGAGCCACTCCTTCATGATACTGTCCGCTCTCGCGTGTAGTTCCGACTCCTTCACCTCTTTCCTGGTCTTACTTGTTCGAATAGAAGCCCCAAGCAGCAGCTCGTCTTCAACGTCCCAGCCTGTCGACGAGGGAGAGGAAAGAGGTAGGTTCAAGTCCTGGCTGAGAAGACTGCTCTGTGATGAAGGCTGCGACAGCGACATCTTGCCCAGCTTCGCCATCTGTGCGAACACTTTGCGGTGCCCCTCGCGAAGGAAGTCTATACCATTTTTATAAATGGCTTTCTCCTCTTTGCGGGGGGCGTTGCCAGCAGCTGCAGTTTTCTTGGCGCTGGACTTAGTACGAGGATAAAGCAATATACACACTAGCCTTCCTCGTCACTTTGAGAAAACGTGATTGCACTTGTAGAAGCGTTCTTTGAATGCACGTTTTCCCAGCTTCTGAGATCTGTTCCAGCGTTCTTGTCATTCGGCGATGGCTCGCCTCGTTTTATCCTTCGCTCGGGGGACCCCGATGACCATCGCGTCGAATTTGAAGAATTTCAGTTTTTTTCTCGGCAGTCGCCGGAATACTACCATGTATGAAGATACCCAATTCTCGCTGTGAATCTCAACCAGCGCCAAGTTGGCGATAAAGTGTGTCACCACCTCCGTCTCGGTCGCCAGTACCCATTCGTCTGTGGACAGAGCCGACCACACGATAGTAGACTCTTTCGTAGACTGGAAATAAGGCTCAAATGCCGCATAGTTCACCATCGACCCTCTTACGAGCTTGCACGTGTACGCTACTCTAACTTCGCTGTCGACCATGGGGTCTAGCTCGGGGTAAGAGAGAGCTTCTTGGATTTTTTTTCAACGCGTTGCGTTGCTTTGCCGACCGCAAGTGGTTGCTCGGATTGTGCAGCTTCCGAATGACATCACCTCCCTCCTCTAGAGACCCACCGGGTGTTACTATGGTGACTACTTTATTTCACGAATGACACGCTGTGTAACGGGGCTACATGGTGTGGAACACACAGGGGACCGGAGTACCCGGAGAGCTAACAAACTCTCAGTACATAAGTTGGAGAGCTAACAAGGTCTCTCAGTACGTTGGCTGAAAGCCACACGTTATGCATTTGATTAGGTTTAACTATGCTGAATAGTTAAACATATACATTTACCCCTAGGCGGCTTGGCCGCAATAACAGTAGATAAAAACACTTCTGGTTTTGAAGCATAAAAGTCAAGGTATTTACTTTGAGCCCTGGTCGTGGGCTGTAAGGTCCTTTGTACAAAGGAACTTATTTTTAGGGACTCTTTAAGTCGAACGTCTTCCTCTGTCGCTAAAGCTACGGCAGCCCCGCTGCACTTCCGAAGTAGATAAACCTCAGCAGGTTGAACATGGGTTTTCCTTGGAGGTCATGTAATTAGCCATCTGACAAGATTTTTAGCGGGTCTATCATAGGTCCTGTTGGGATATCCTAGTTATGCCAATTTTTAAGTCAGCTCGAGAAAAGGTCTATTGTGTCTCTCATCCCGCCGAGTGCATGCGGATCGTCATCTTTTGCGACTGCGAGTACACCAATTTAGCTTAGATACCACCCTACCTCCTCTTTGCTTTGATGCAGGCAAAGGTTGTGTTTATCAGCCTGTCCTGTAGGATCTATTAATAAATAAGAGCGCCTGTGACGGAATGACACAGCACCTTGCGCTACAGGAAGGTGGCTTCCTAGAGTATGCAAACTCTCAGTGAACAGTAGTTGACCCATTTAAGGTAAGTTGTAAGCTGTACAAATTTATAGGTAGGCTAAAATTGAGTTAAAAATACAAACTATAAGTCACCTTTGGTAAAGCTATGTCATTAGCCAACGGTTGGCCTCGGACGACCCTGGTACCATGTACCAGATATTCCAAAGTGTGACGT